CATTTAAATAAAATAAAATACAACAATAGAATAAAAAACAACAATAGAATAAAATACTTGAGGTAGAAAAGATAATATGATATTTAATGTGTATTGACACCACAAATAGGCTTTAATAGTATCTGTGTTGCGCGTTCAAATAATAAGATAAACTACTTAGTGGCATTTAATCTATTTATGGAGCTTATTGTTCATTTATCAGAAGGAGCTCTGTTTGCTGATGCAAACTAGACTTCACCTTGATTTTGTGCCTGTTGGGAAGTCTGCAGCCTGTGTAGTTTTTTTTTTAGTCAAGGCCCAGACAGCCGGGTGGCTGTGCACAGGCTTTGTTTGCAGATGTGTGGCTATAGCTAACCCCCAAACAAGCCCATGGTGCTGGTATAATTCAGATTCTCTGTGCTTGCTCATTTAGAGGCCATATAGAGATAATGCAAAACCTTGAGGCATGTCTCAGTAATATACTGGATTGAAAAATGCATCTTTTCAAAACAAGCCTCTCTCTGCTGGAAGATGCAAACAGAGTGTGTGTACTGTAAGTAAGTAAGTTGCTGGAAGACTAGATTTCATATCTTAAATCAATTTTGGTACAAGTCAGGCTGCACGCTGCTATGAAATTAAACCCAATGACTTTCTTGTGTCGCCAAGAAACTGAAACAGTGATCAATTGTAAACGAGTATTTTATCCAAACACATTTACTGCATGATAACACAAATATAAAAGCCATAATACCGTTCAGCAAGATATCACATGCCATAACATAGTCTGTACAAATCTAACTGCTAATGGCCACTCCAGTTATCACCTTCTGACACCACACTCAGTCAAATTTAAGTCTTTGCTGAGGAGTCATCTCCTCACAGTCATTCCCAATCAGTGCTGTACCATCATATGTGTCAATATGTAGATTATAAGAAGAGTTAGGAGGCCTGGTCCCTCTTTCCGGCTGCTGCACAGAGCGGAGCTTTAAAAAAAGCCCGGTAAATTGACAGTGAATCATCCTGACAGATCAGCGTCTTGCTCTTTCTGTGGTCATTATATCTGTAGATGAATTTGCGAGGAGGGAAGTGAGGACAGCAGACAGAGAGTAATGGGACTGTTTCCATTCAGGAGATGTGTTTTGCCTTCCTGTGTTCAGTGTATTCCTCCCCGCCGGTACGGTTATCAATGAAACTAATTGCCAGCTTCAACTTCAATCAATTCCTCACCACTGGACACATTTAAACCCGCACTATTGTATTTTCATGACTGACTCAATCCTGAATGTACATCAGTGAACTCAATAATACAGATATGAATATGGAATGGCAACACTGATTCCAACAGAGTCAGGTTGGAACACCAAATTATGAGTTTGAGGAGGTGTTATAATATGTTAAAATAATGTATCCCCATGGGTGAAAATGAAACAGAAGTGAAAACAACAAAGCAACCGGATCCATTAACTTAGGTCCCTTTAGAAAAAAGAAAATACTGACAGCCAACAAATCATGCCCATGTTTGTGTTTTTCTTTACATGAATAAGTAATGAAGGGAGTGTTAAATCAACCTTACCTTGCTTTGCTAAATGATTAACTGCAACCATTGCCTGTTTAAAAAAACAACAACAAAAAAAACATGATGGAACACCTTCTACCCGGTCTCTCTTTATTTACTGACACAAGGTGGTTCAGAAGGTATTGTGTCAAACCCATTATATTTTTAGGTATGCTACCAGCATGGCTCTGGAAATAGCAATGTCGGTTGGTCGGTCCACCACGTTGTTCCAGACTGAAATATCTCAACAACTATTGGATGGGTTGCCATTGAATTTTGTGCAGATATTCATTGTCCCCAGAGGGCAAATCCTACTGGCTTTGGCTATCGCCTCACTTTTCTTCTAGTGCCTCCAGCAGGTCAGTATTTTTACTTATCCAGTGAAATATGCCAACATCTACTTGATGGATCGGCACAGACGTTGGCACAGTTTCCAAAGCTGATGATCCCCCTAACTTTTCCTCTACTTTCCTCTCAGGATGAGTTGTGATCACTTTGGTAATCCCATAACATAACAACCCTTAGCAACCAACATAAGGTCAAAATCTTTTATTTGTGCAAGAATGGCATTACTTGCAAGGCAGCTGTATTCGTGAGATCACAAAATTACGAGATCACTAGAGAACCCACCTTGCCAGGCTTTAATCTATGCGTTTGTGGTCGGTACAGTGGTAGCAGACCAATCAGAGTCCACTGTGGAAGTATTGGCAGCTATGGCAGTGGGTGCTAGGTGTGATGCAGTGAGAAGACACTGGTCAGCTGGATAGTATTTCTTCGTTGACAATAGTAAACATACCTGCTAAGCATCAGCATGTTAGCAATGTATTGTCACTGTGACCATATTAGCATGCAGATGTTAGCATTTAGCAAAGCAACATCCCTAAGTACAGCCTCAGATCTCCTAGCATGGCTGTTGACTGTTTATTTATCATCAGTTTATTATACTGTTATCTCAGCTCTCTGCCTCCCTAGATGATCCGCTGCCTTTTTCTTATCTATGAGGAGTACAGTCACGTAAGGCTTCATTCACTGGAGCACTGCATTTGTAATGATGTACTTTCTTATATAAAATACATTTGTCTTCGAAATCAGAAATAGATTTCTCTGCATATCTCTAAACATCACTGTGTTGCAGAATGTACACACAAAGAAGTCTGTGAGGAACCGGAAAGTTCTTGTGACATCTTATATCATGCAAAATTAATCCGCAAGACTAAGAAAAAATATCACTAGCTCCTCTGGGGTTACATCATGTAATATAATACTGTGTGTGTGTACCGTGTGGGTGTGTGTTTGCATGGGACAGCACAAGAATCGCTCTTTCTATCAGTCTGCCACATTAACAGTAAATTTCCAGCACAGAAAGCGGTGTGTGTCTATCAGTGCTGCCTGGTTAGTAAAGATGTCAAAGCTACATGAGCTATGTGCTCTACAGCCTTGCATGTTGTTTGATGAAATATGCATGACACTGGCAGAGCTGATGCTCTGAAGTGATGTATGTATTTATATATATATATATGTATATATATATTTAAAAAAATATGAACCTTTAAAAAGGAAGACTGGACCCTTTAAGAAATAAAAAAGAAAGAGAAGACGAATGACACTCGGGTAGCCTCAAAGTAAAGCACTTGCGCAAAAAGAAAAAGGCTGAAGTGGGTTGAAGCATGGGCTGTGCTTCAAGTATTCATATCTCTGATAGGGTGGTCTACCACAGTGGAAAAGAGTCCGAGGATTCCCACTCACCCCAGCAGACTAATACCACTCAGCATCAAGGAAATCCTGCCTCGGGACTACCCCTAAAACCCCCGAGCTGCAAGGTGAGGGAACCTACATTCATTACATTTACAGAGACACAGGAGCAACAATGTGTGTGTGTGTGTGTGTGTGTGTGTGTGTGTGTGAGAAGTTTATGTTTGAGTGAATGTGTTACATA